ATTTATGCATTTAGCCTTTTGAATTGAGCTGAGATTTTGGTCATCCTCACTGCAAAACACAAGTTTCTTGGGAATAACTGCCAAAAATAGCTATTCTCAATAATCACTTTTAAGAGTTTTATCAGGAATTTGCTCAGTGCCTTGCTGCAGAGTGACTTAGACTCTTAAAATCTGACCAGAATATTAATTTGGACTTGAATATCAAAGCACAGAAAGGACAATATATTTAGATTACTTAGGGCTTTTTTTTTTTTTTTAATATTTCCATAGCTGTGGAAATGTTGTGTGCCAGTTGTAACAGCAGACTCTTGGCTCCTCCATCTGGTTGCTAACTACTATAGTGAAGTGTCTTACTAAAGGCAGCTCCAAAGGCAAAATATGCTGTCAGGCCTTTTGTTGTGTGTTTTCTTTGAATCTTTCCATCCTGATTGTCTTTATACCTGGTACAGTGCTGTGTCTAGTACATTTCATACATTTTCATAAGGAATATACTTTGAAATAATGTAATTATCTGAATATATATATAATCTTGCCAGGCTGACCTATCATTCAGGAAATACTCAGGTTTTATCCAAAACTATATCAAGAGGAGATGCACTAATTTTTGAAGACTTAGTAATGAAAGCAGTGGGAGAAGCTGACACTGTTTATTATCTTGTGAAGATATTCAAAACCATCTTATATAATCATAAAACAGCCCTCCCAAGAGCACTCTTGAGAGATTAATATGGATGTTATGGTGCCTCGGGATAATAATATGCATTTTCAGTAACTGTCTTTGGAAGACTTCCTGTTAACAAGAAAGACAATTTTTTTTTTTTTACTTCATGTTTAAATAATATGAGAGGCATGCATACAGACTTGGCATAAATAAAGGATGCTCATATTTAGGCCATTGCTATGTAACTGAATGCCCACGTGGTCCTGGACCCCCTTAAGAAGAAAGCCTGCAGGCTGTTTTCCAATCCACCATCATCCTTTGTCTTTCTCTGTGATTTTTGTAGGTTTATCAAATCTCTTGGGTCTTATTACTCAACATGCAGGTGCAAACATGCAGTAAACATTCCAGCTGCGTATACTTAATCATAACTTACAGTGCTAGTCAATTGCCTTGTAAAAAAAAAAAGACAAAAACCAAACTGAAAACACTCCCCCGCCCCCAAAATAGAAATGGCTCATAAAATTTTCTACTATTTGTGCAAACAATATAGTAAAGACTTGAAGGATGGGTTATTCATATTCTGTGCTTAGCCATTTCATTGCATGAGGCATTGATTCAATAGGCTTCCATATATAATTAAAACTTGCAAGTTCAGAGGTTGTGGTAAAATCTGGTGTCTGCCAAATTACAGTAAAAATCATAATTACATTTAAGTAGTTTGGAATGACAGCTTTTCTGCCCTGGAAATAGGATCAGTGAAAAATGTTTCCATGCCAAAAGTCCTGCTGTAACAGTCTTCCACTGCTCTACAAGTGCCAAAGTAGGACACGGTGATCTGGGGTAGAAGCTTTGTTATAAAGCCTTTGTTGTCTGAGATACTGGGGGAGCTGATGGCTCCATGGACCCCAAAGTTTGTCTCTGGGCAGCTGGTCTCATCCTCTCATCCTGACAAGGATGAGAGAAAATGCTGCTCCAGATCCGAACCGAAATGCCCCTGCTACCAAGGGTAAAAGCCTGAAGTGTGTTAGCTTTCATCAGGATCAGAGCTCTTACAAAGTGACACAGGAGTGCCACATGTACCTGACATCAGCACAGATCTTTGTTCTCTTTTATGGAGCCTGAGCTGGCTACTGAGCTCATTCCCCACAAAACTGGAGGTTAACGTGCAAAGTGTGGTGGGAGAACACCTACTGTAACTTATTGACCTGACCTGTCACCTTCTCACGTTAAAAAATCTTAATAAAAGGTGTTATTCACTTTTATCTGTAAGAATTCAGGCTTTGTTTGAAAAAAAATAGTGCTATGGCAGATGGTACCTCTCATATTTTAGGATCACATGCTTTATTAATAGTTTGTTAACTAAACAGCAGGCTGAGAGTCTGCTGTTTCATAGAATAAATTCTAGTGGATTTACTTACACTCTTGGAATTATTTTGTTCTCAAAATTGACTTTCTGGATGCATATAGATTTAACCTAGACAGTTCAATTTCACAGTGTTTTTTAGGAGGTGGGATGAAGCATAAATCAGGCCATTGAAGCAAGGAAGCTTATGAGGAATGTAGTTCATGAAAGAGTCACTGGACTGGAAATAAAGACTTTTTCAGTGTTTAAGAAAACAAAGCTTTTCCACATATGTTTTCCATTTGTCTTTTGTTTATTTATTTATTTTTCCCTGTGGACAGACTATGACAGAAAGAGCCTGAGCCCAAATACCGAACCTGCTATTTCCAGGGAAGAATTTCCTCAGACGTTGCAGCTGGGTGCTCTCCTTTTGGCAGGCCGGGTGATGCATGAGGGTGGGACACTGCAGTAACGCTGCCCACACTGAGAAGCTGACAGGGAGCAGGGGGCCTGGTGGGCTTTCAGACCCAGCAGCTGTGTGTTGGACACACTTCATGTCCTTTTCTAACAAGCACAACTGCTGTGCTGCTGAAAGCAGCTGTGCCAAGAAGCCTTTTGTTTAGCATATGGAAGCAGCACCCTTATTTTTATTCATGGCCAAATCAAGCTCCTGCTAACAGTACTTTTCTTTAATAGTAACTGCTCACATCCTTCAGGGTTGTGGCAGCCCATGGTCTTGCTTTCTAGTTCCTTGGGCACACTTTTTGAATTTACCACTTCAAAGTATCTTTGGATAAACTTTCACAAACCACCTGTCAACCTCATCTTGTAAGTGGTCTTTTCCCCTCAGTGGGACATTCCACTTTGTGCTTTCAGTCAACCTTTTTTTTTATTTTTGGACTCTGTTTTCACCTAGAGGAGTTGATCAGAATAAATTCTTCTTTTTTAAATTGATAATCATGTTAATGTACAAAAACCATGTAAGAGAATCTGGCTCACGAGAGATACCCTGTAATGTTTAAACAGAATTTTTTTGAGAAAGGGAAGAGCAATTTATCTTAAAAGTTTTATGTAGGCATCTGGTCAGAGACAGTTCTTGGGAGTGCATTTTTTTGGGATCTGCCTGACATTTAATTCAGCTTGTGCCTTTTTTCTCTTTTCTCCCCTTTAATATTTCTAGAATACACCCACAACTCCACCTCCCACTGACTGGCCCCAGAATTTGAGTTCACTGGCCTGATCTGTGCTGTGTACTGTTCTTCATGTTCCACTTAACCATATAAATAAATAAGTACATGAGGTTGAGGGTTTTTTGGTATCAAGTGCAACATCAACTATGCAAATCATTGAAGAAATGTTCACCCTTAGAAAAATTACATATATGAAGAAACAATGTCAAAACACCATAACAGGATTTCTACCAATTATGTTTTGTACCTAAATAACACCATGAAATGGCATGTGAAAGAAACACAACATCCCTCCCTCCTCCCCAGCTCCAAGTCCCCTTCCTCTCACCTCGAAAAGTTCTTTGAGATTTCTTTACCACCTGGCCTGGGAAAATAACATCTTCCATAGCACCTCTTCTTCCTTTTTTCCTGTTCATCTTGCCTTTTCCCTTCCTTTGAGAGTACAATTCAGAGGAATTCCTGTCTTTTTAAAACTTTTCCCTGCTCAAGGTTGTGTTTTTCCCTATTTGTTTTAAACCCCAGCTGGGAGAATTAATTCTTAATAATCATCTTACCCAAGTTAGAATATATTAGCACCTTACTGGAATAGATGATGACTGGAGAATTAATTCTTAATAATCATCTTACCCAAGTTAGAATATATTAGCACCTTACTGGAATAGATGATGACTGGAGAATTAATTCTTAATAATAATATAATGCATCTTATGATCTTAATACTGAGCTTACAGTAATAAGATATAGACCTAAAATATTTTACAGTCAAAATAAAAAATAACTGTATAGAGAGATCTGAATATATACAAGTGATATCATATATGACCCATTGCACTGATACTGACATATTTGGTCATTGAATCAGTGAAATTACACTTAGTGTAATTTTGACTTTAGTGTCTAGTATTTTGCTGTGTTTTATTTTCTGTAATTGGAATATTAAACTACTTAATTTATATTTAATATAAATTATTTAATGAAAAGCTCAAAGTCTTTAAATATATAATATTAATAACTGAATTGACTTTGGAGAATTTTGCATTGTAATCTGAAATTAATTTTTGTGAGTTCTTTTTGGAAAATTCATTATTTAGAAATTATATATCCCTGGTGTTTCCATGGAAACACTTTCACCTTATGCTAATGAAATACAAATTATGGGAAAATAAAATCTTTACTAGAAGAGTATTAGAAAATTATTTTTTTACAGCTTGGAAAATTTTAATGCAGATAAACCTCCAGTCTCTCAAAACAGCTGCTAGTCTGGATCCAGAAATGGGTCAGGTTCATCCTGTTCAGTGCTGAATTCCAGAAGCTGGATGGGTTACCGTGAGGGTAAACCAAATATTCTGTTTACTGGCAATGATGTCTCAAAAGGTTGGGATTTTTAGTCTGTGTCTAGGCATGTGGGCTCAGCAAGCACCCTCTCTATGCATGTTGTCTACCCCAAAATAATACGGTTTGGGGTTTTTTGCCCTATATGACACAATGTAGATAGCATTTATCCACTGTGATAATTTCATTCTTCGCAGTGCTGTGGAGTAGGAGGTAAAAGCTGGTAGAAATACTCTTGTAATAAACAGATGTTGGATTTTACCATAGCAATAAGGCTCCAATCCATTTTCTTGCAATAGATAACAAAATTCCTTCTGCCATTTGCATCCATTGCACCGCCTCTTTCATGATCTGGGGTCCTTTGTGGTCTGGACCCACCAAAGGGCGAGTGTGGGGTGGCTGTGGAGGGGGTGCCTGGTGGGCAGTCTGTGGGGAGCAGGAAAAGCAATAACCCACTGCTCTTTATCCCCTGCAGGGAATGAAGCCCACGATGCCTTCACCTGTGCTTCCAAGCAGAAGGTGCTGCCTGGGGACTGTGCTGTGGCTCTGATGTTGGGGGACTCTGCACTGAGGGACAGAAAGTGGGATCCATCTCTGCTGGGCAGGTGGGATCCATCTCTGCTGAGTATTGGCTGCCCAGGCAGTCCTGGTTAAGGAGACAGTCCTGTCACAAATATTTGCAGCCCAGTGGCACAACTGTCCTAAAAAAAACTTTCCCAAAATATTCTTGGTCCTGATAGCAGGTGAGGGGAGTGAAGGGCTGTTGATGGCACTTTTTGGAATTGGTAGTTGACTTTTGTTGTTCAGTTGCTTGCTTTCTTTATTTTTTTTTTTTAATTAATGAGGTCTTCTGTGCATAGGACAGAAAGAAAAAGTTTTGTTTAAAAAGTGTTTTTATTTTGGCAAATTCTTCCTCTAATCACAACACAAAAACCCCACACTGACCAGAAAATATCAAAGAATGTTATTTTCTTAATCTTTTTTTGTAGACGCGCTGTCTCTGACTCTCTAATTAGAGTAAGAGCTTACTCAGACTTTATTAGCCTTGCTTTTGTCCAAATGACTGTTTTTTTCAGGCTTGAGCCCTTTGCACTCACATAGGTAGGAAGAAAATATGATCTTTAGCTTATTTAACTATTGCCCAATTATACATTTCTTTTTGGTTGCAATGGGGACAAGGAAATCTGCCCTGAAAATATGAAACAGTAATGGGTAGCCTCAGAGAGTTGCTTTTGTTGATAACAGTATTGAGCCAGAAATTTTCTGCCAATTCAGCCTCCTGCTGCCACCCACAGCCAGCTGTGTTTAGGAGCTCTTCAGCTGACAATAGTCAGAAAGGAGGTGAAGGATTTTTTTGTGTTAGGAGCACAAAGTCTGGAGAAAAATCAAAGTGGTAATGGATTCAGAGAAATATCCAAATTTAAAAATAAAATATAAAAACTCACAAAGCATTGGTTTATGGTGTCTGGGGTTTTTTTCCAGATTTATAGTAGCAGCAGCAGTTGTGTTTCTCCTGATCTGTGTCCTGTAATTTGGTAGCAGAGTATTTAGGCTGAGAGTTTAAATCACTGGAAAATAGAGTTTAGTGATTGCTCGGGGTCTTGGATAAAGCAGCTGCTGAGGGCCAAGTGCTCCTGGTACTGTCTGTGTTCATTGACCTTTCTGGGCCACCAGTGAGGCCTTTCAGTGCAATTCCAGGCTGAAATGGAGCTGTGATGAAGTGCTGCACATCCAAGGACAAGCTGCTGTCCCTGAAGTGCCTTTTGTGGGGATCTAAATAGATGGATTAAATTGAAATGGATGTATGTGTATATTTATATATATTACATATATTTACAGCTATGGTACATTACAGCAAATGATTGGTGACACACTGTACCCCAAAACAACTTGGTGGGTCACAGGGTTGAAGCTAACTTGTGTGTAGAACAGGTTCCTTTAACATTTGTGGAGGAGGGGAAGCATTCATCTTCACAATTGACAAAATTTTTTCTCTCCTCTTGTAGCATAACATTAAATGTTTATTCTGGATCCATCAGAATTAAAACTTGCACAGATCTGTCTGGCTTGACCTCATCTCACATGGAAGAGCTCCACGTGGGCTGAACTTTAGTCTGTTTGTGACAAAACTGACATTTCATGGACAGTTCTCAGCTGTCTCCATGGCACACTTGTCTGTTATGAAGCCTCCTGTGACTGAGGAATGCAACAAGAAAATGAATGTGGAGGAAGAGAGCTTCAGCAGCCTGTCCAAGACAGGCCCATTGTGTCAGAATGTGGTTCAGCAGGACTTTTAGCAGGACACCAAGCTTTTAGTCCAATGGTCTGTTCAGTTTTGCTCCCGGGCACACACTTTGATCATAACCTGAGGTCTCAGTGTCTCATTTCTGCTCTTGTGAGTGCCACTGTTTTGTCTCCACTTGTGGGTATGCATGTTCAGAATGGCACAACAAGGTCAAACTGGGAATTTACTCCAAACACCAATTAGATTTGTTCTTGTGTCAAGGGATGGGGGCCAGGAATGGCAAGGAATACCTTGGCAGAACATGTCCATATAATTCCAGCAGGAATGGGTCTCATTTGACCACATTAAACTACTCTGGTTCACCCAATATGATATTCTGCTTTGACCTTTGGCTTTCCTCCATTAGAATTTTAATTGATTGGCTGGCTAATTACAGACATTTCAACCTGTGGCAAAGAGGAAGGGCTATAAACATCTACTCTTGGCCTGAAAATGGTTAGTGTGAGGAGAATGCAGGGGCTCTACAATTGCCATATTAACTGAACCACATCAATGCGCTTGTACAAAGCTGGAAGACAAAATCTTTGACATGGCTGGTTGTTTGACACCTTTGCCTTCCTGCAAAGGCAACGTGCCATCATTCATTGATATAGTGAGGTTTGATTCAGTGGTTTTGGGGTTTTTCTTTTGGAAAGGTGTTTTTTGGTCTGTTTGAATTTTTTTTCTTTCTTTGTATGTTTCTGTTTTGTTTTGGTACCCAACTTGATTTGTGAGGGATCTGTCAAGGTCACTTGATGAAATCTCCTCCATAAAATAATGAGATCTTGCATATTATTTATGGTCAAAAATGTATTCTGAAAATATGTATCTGCATGTGTGGAAGGTTTGTATATGATTTGGATTTCAATCTGTGATGCTGCCTGGTCTTCATAAGTCCATTTTTTTATGGATCTGCTCAGCATATTTTCTATCAGTGCAATTCACTGTTCCCTCTATAGGGCACATATGGATGTGTACTGGTGAGTCAGGTTGTCAGGTTTGAAGGATTGACTCAAGTTGTGCTAGGACAGGTTTATGTTGGATCTTAGGAAAGCATTCTCACTGAAATGGTTGTCAAGCACTGGAATAGGCTGCCCATGGAGGTAAGGGATTGACTCACCATCCCTAGAGGCATTTAAAAGACATGCAGATATGGCACTCAGGAACTCAGGGTTTAGTGCTGGACTTGGCAGTGCTGGGTTAACAACTGGACTTGGTGATGCTAGAGATATTTTCCAAGCTAAATGATTCAATAATTCTATTATACCAATAAGTGAAAACTGAAGGTGCAAAAAATCCATTGACCAAAGGGGCATTTGGAAAAGAAGAGCTACAAATTTCTGAAGAAAGTCAGTCATGGGCATGGAGAGGGGGACACAAGAGGTATCCAAGGGCAGAGTTAAACAGTTGTGCTTTTTGGTGATTATGTGCACCAGTTGCCAGTATTGATCCTTTAGCAGTCTGAATTTCATCTGATTTGTCTCTGTGCTTAAATTTCTGGAGGAGGAATCACCAGTGGCTGTCATTGGGAGATGAGGCCAGAGGGGAATTTTAGAAGGGTGTCATTAGATTTCAGAAACCCACATTGGTACATCATTCCAACCTCCATGTCCTGAAAATACATTGGGCTATAATTTGGTTTCAGGGGACATGGGAACTATTTAAACCTTCACTTGCAAACTTTCTGCCCATCAGTGTACAAGCTAGTCTTCATGACATTGGGGATTGTACATTTCCCTCAGCTCCAGCTACTCACCTGTCCAAACAAAGAATTAATGTGACATGAACACAACAGAATTGTGCATGAAAATAAATTAATGTCCCTCAAGCACTTATTTATTGGTGCTACAGAGTTTCTGGTCATGTACAGAGACTAAAGCAATTTATTCTGCCTGCTTTTTTATAACTAGCATTTAATGACAAACACCACACTTTATTGCCAGCATTGTAATACAAGAATTAATAAATATGCAAAGTGATCTGCTGTTGCTCAGAGTCATGAGTAATGAACATCTTGTATATCACAATGCAATGGCTGTTCTTGTTTATCAGTCTTTGGCTGCTGTACTACTGAGATTATTTTCTGTTATCCTTGCTTTGTATTTTACAGTTTTGCCTCCTTTTAGGAGTTCTTTCCTGTAAGAATTGCTGTTAATGTCTCTCTATTTAATATGATTAAATCATATTAAATCTCCTCATTATTTTAAGATGTTTTGCATAGATGCTTGGCAACAAAATATATCTTATGCATTAGTGGAGAGCAAGTTTTTGGATATGGAACAGCGTATTCAAACCTGGACAGAAATAAAATCTCAAATATCCTGAGTAGAGATGCTGAAGGTTGACTCAAGAAGCATCAAGGTTTTTCTCCAACTATTTTTCTAGGTCCTGTCCAGTTGTAATCAGGTTACTTCTTGAGCTGATTCTTACAAAAACTAGTAAATAACAAATACCTCTTCAAAGCGCAGTTTTTGACTGTTCTCCATGGGATCTTTGATTCATTCTGAAAACCTGATTTTCAGAGTAGAAAATCTCTTACTAATAAAGATTATTTTTATACAGCACAAAGGTATTTTCTCAACATGATGAGAATTTCTTTACCACCCTACTTGAACAATTTTTTCAGGATGTATCAGAGGCTGCACAGAGTTCTCAAGTACTTTGTCAGGTTTTCCTCCCTTATCTGACAAAATAATATTTAGAGTGAAGCCTTGAGGTCATGCAGACTGTTCAGTCTGTGCAGTCTGTGTTGTCCAGGGGCTGACTTCAAACAAAAATAAAAAAATTTTCAGTTTAATTGTCATGTGTATAATCTGGTTTTTTTTCTGGATCTTTTTATACTTTCATACTCCTTTCCCCTACTGCTATGTATCTTAAAGCAGTCTTTGGTGTGATGGTTCTTTAAATGCTAAGTAAATTTGGTAAACTGAAAACCTGTGCATAATTTCTTTGGTTTTTTAAAGCCTCTAAGACACTTAAAAGAGATATTTTTATTTACCACTACAGTTGTGCAAATTGAAATATAATATTGGCTTTGCAGCCAACAGGAGTTGCTCAGGTATATGTAATACCTTCCTTACCTTAGAAAGGCAATTGGGTCAGGACAAAACTATCTCTGACAGGATTCCCTTACGACCCCAGGCTGCTGGAGCCTTTGGGTACTGGGAAATGAATTTCTGGACTCCAGCAGGGGAGGCAGGGTTTGGGAGTGACTGGCTGTAAGGGGAGGAGAACACAAGCAGGTGGCCTGAGGAGGCATTCCTGTATTATTTCAAATTTCCTTTTCTTTAATTTTACATAACAGAATTGGATGC